CATGATAAATCCATGTTGCTAAAAAAAACCCACCAAGGAACAATCTATTGGCCTGAAACAAATTGAATAGGATGAACCAGACAAATCATTCAGCAGACCAAAACATTGCAAGCTGTTCTTGAATCTCTTTTATTTTAAAACAAAACAAAACAGTATTTTAAATTATATGAAATACTGTGGAAAGGAAATGCTGATTATATGTCATTTTTCAGGCGAATAAGTTGAAGAAGGAAGAAGAGCTCCACAGAAATAAGGTCCAGATGCTGGAGATGGAACTGGCATCTCAACAGAAATCATTTGCAGATTTGAACACCAAGGCAGAGGAATTAAAAGATGAACTCATGACGCAGAAGCGAAAGCATACTGCAAATCTTAAAGATCTCACCAAACAGCTTCAGCAAGGTTAACATTTCTCACACATTGGCTTCTGTGGTGTGTATTTGACCTAGGAATTAAAACATCAGCTTTGCATCAAAGATCTTATGTTTTGTTTCATTAGCACGAAGAAAATTGGATAACCTTGAAAATGGCAATTGTGATAAAGAAATCAGCAGCATGGGGAGTCGTTCCAGCTCATCAGGTGAGTTACTTTGCTGGGTTTGTGAAGAAACAAAGCGATGCTAATAACACATGCTACAGCTGTAAAATCTGCCATGAGAATACATTCTTCCCCAGCAGTTGCTAAAAATTTCCTACAGATTATGTTGGACTTGAATATGTACATGTTGAATTTTCTTATAAGGCTTTTCTCTGAAAGCATAATGCTTCTGTGGTCTTCCAGGTCCAGAACAATTTCACATTAACCTCTCATGGGATAAACTTACAAAAATTGTGTACCATATAAGCTATAAGAATGTATTCACAAATGACTATACTTTTTTCAAGGTCAAGGAAATAAGTGCAAATAATTTCAAAATTGCTTGTGTATATAACGTGTATGAAGTTCATATGAAGTTGGTTTTTATACTTGACTCACCTATATATTGTTGTGATTAATTTTCCAAATGTAGCTAATTTTCAGCTAACAAAAGCTGTATTGTGCCAGCTTTCCTGTTCTTTCATTCCAGAGATCACCTATTACTTTATATGCAATTGCTGATACAGCATTGCTGATATTTTAAGGATAGCACAAACTGACTCTGCTATATTTTAAGTCCTTTAAGAATACCATCTTCATTTATCTTTAGGCAATTTCATACCCAAGCAATTTCTGGATGTCATAAGATTCTTTTCTTTTTTCTTTTTTCTGCTGACATTTAATTTCTTTTGTTTCTTTCTGTCGTTCTGCCTAAGAGTCCCACAAAAAAATGAGAGCCGTATGTTCTTTATTGCGAAATGAACACACAAACAGAACAAATGGAGTCAGGGAGGTCTTTGAAAAATGGTTTGGTTTGTGAATTCTGCATGAACTGCAGTTGTAGTTCTATGGTGGAATGCCTAAGTTCTCCTTGAAGATTTTGACCTACCATCTCTAATTGGTTTTTTTTTAATCTTTAGAGATACCTCTGAATAGGTTTTTGGTGATTTAAAACTGCTGTCTGAAAAACTGGAGATACACAAATGAAGACTCAATTTATAGATTACCTGTTGATTCTGTTGCTTTAAAATTTATTATTTCTATAGTACTTTCAAGCTGAAGATAATATATTAGTTCTTGGTGTAGAACTTTCCAAGAATCTATGTGATCTTAACAGTATCAAACATTAATCACGAAGTTCAAGGTGTTTATGGCTGCCACTTTCCAACTCTTTTATTTATTTTTCTTACCAAAAATTAATTCCATTTAAAGAAATGTGACTTTCATGAATGTTATTAGTTTCTGAACAGAGACAAAACTTTTCCTGGACCTAATTCTGAAGATACACACTTGGGAGAAAGAATCAAAGGGATGGGGGAAGGAGGGAGATTTTTCTTAGAACTGGACAATCCAATTAAGATGCACTTGGCTTGGCAGGGTCTCTTAATGCTCGGAGCAGCAATGAAGATCGTTCACCAGAAAACACTGGCTCTTCAGTAGTTGTCGATCATTTTCCTGAAGTGGACAAAACTATCTTGATTGAGCGGATAGTAAGACTGCAGAAAGCACATGCTCGAAAAAACGAGAAGATGGAGTTCATGGAAGATCATATCAAACAGCTAGTGGAAGAAATCAGGAAAAAAACCAAGTATGTACCTCTCATTAGCTAGGAAAAGAAAAAAACATAGTAAAACTGTAGAATTGTCCGTAGCACATTTGTAAAGTAAAAGTTCAAGTAGTGGTAGCCTTTTCCAAATAGCCCCAGGCATTTCACTGTTTATTGAATAAGGAAAAAGACATGTATTCAATAAAAGGGGAAATTTCCATTTCTCAACTTTATATACGAATTCAGTAAAAAGTAATAAACAGAACTTGCTCTGAAATTAAATGAAGATAGCTATGATGATTACCCCGTAGAAATATAATATTTATGTTTTGATGTATACAACATAGTCAGTGCTATTATAAAAAGGTGAGTAGTTGATTCTGAAAATAGTCCACCATAAACTGAATCAAAAGTAATTACTTGCTAGAAAGTCATTAGCTTAAATGTATTCCTGCACTGTTCTTTCACTGGCTTATTTTAGAGATGAAACTCTTCAAGTTTGTATAAAAATATTTGTGTTAACTGCTGCCATTCAATACTCTGAAGTAATTATGTGGCTGCACATAATTGCAATGAAATGTTTAATGTACACCCTGGCATAATATATAATTACAGTTCTCCAGCTTTGTAACTGCTAATTGAAACCTATATGGTACAAAGATCTGATCCTTAAAACAATATCCAATGTAAACTTTCTAAGAATTTACAAAATTAGCTCCATGGTGATATTTTGTCATTTGCAAATAGAACAATGCCATCTGGAGCAACTAAATTATTTTTTTGTAGTTTTGATCACATAAGACATTTGATCACATATCATAAATGGTAACCCTGGGAGTATAACTTAGGCATGAACGTATTCCTTATTTTTATACTTTTTTGACGGAAAAGATACCATTTTTTTAGAGTTTTGCGTAAAAGGAGTTCTTTTCTTGCCATTGACTAGCTAGGATATACATAAAAAGTTATTTTTAGTTATTGTAATTTGCATCTACTGTATATCAAGTGTGAAGATCCAAAGAATTGCAGATTTTCTGCAATTGCATAATGATGGTCTAGTCCAAGTTCGGAAAGAAGAAATGACCCAAGAAATAATTGAGCAGGGGTAATTTGAATATACAACATTGCTGTACAAAGAAAAGGGAAATGAATGATATTATGGCAGTTCACATATTACACTTTAACATATATCCTATATCCAGAAAGCTTTCTGATAATCATTTGGCATATTGGATTGTGCAGCCTGCCCAAAAGTTACTTCCATGTGGTGCAGAACGTGACTGTAAGGTTCAGTGACTAGGTTCTTGCATTGCCCTGAGCCACCTTAGCTGTAGTTTCCTTTGATTTGGCTTAGCACCATCCGCAAACCCATTCTGTGTGGTTTGTAAGCCATACATCACGAAGTATGCCATTGCAACCTGTTAAACATATCCTTGTTTCTCATTTAGGCTAGAGAATTGCAATTCCATAAGCATGTATATGGAATTCCAGAGGAGCAGCTCCTTGTCTTTAATCAGTAGTGGATGCACAGAAATAAATAGCAGCCTGGCCCATTCTTCCAAAATTACAATACAGGACTCCCCATTCTTGACATTTTCGAGAGTCACGCTCTGGGTCAAGGGTTAATAAATGGATTTTCTTAGTTAAGGTGTAAAACTGATGCAAATGAATCAGAACCTTCCCACTAGACCAGGGGTAGGCAACCTTGGCTCTTTTATGACTCATGGACTTCAACTCCCAGAATTCCTGAGCCAGCATAGCTGGCTCAGGAATTCTGGGAGTTGAAGTCCATGAGTCATAAAAGAGCCAAGGTTGCCTACTCTTGCACTAGACCCAGTCAGGCCAAACTTTTCTGTGACACTGTCTTATTCTACTTTGTGTGTTTTTTTTTTGTTTTTTTTGCAGAATAATCCAGAGTTACATTTTGCGGGAAGAAGCTGGCACACTTTCATCTGAAGCATCAGATTTCAATAAAGTACATTTAAGTCGGCGCGGTGGAATCATGGCCTCTCTCTATACATCACACCCGGCAGACAGTGGACTCACATTGGAACTCTCTCTGGAGATAAATAGGAAACTTCAGGCAGTCCTGGAGGATACCTTATTGAAAAATATTACCCTAAAGGTGATCATTAAAATAACACCCCACAATACATTTTATAAAATATTGTACACCATTTCAGAGTAGCTTTAAAAATGGCAGAGTAGTGAAGAATACTATAGCGACTGAGCAGCAAAATGAACTGTGCATTTGAACAGCAATTTCCATTAAGAAATTTCTTTTACTAAAGCTACAGTAAAAGAAATCTGATTAGAATTAGGCTTTGTACTCCAAATACCCTGGGGAGTAGTTTTCAGAACAGTTAGGGGAGTGTTTTTAAATATGAGTGTTTTATAATCTTGTTTTAAGCAAAATAAAATAAATATATAATTAAATTATTGTATGACATGTATGGGGGCGGGGCGGGGATAGGTAAGATGGGAATTGGCCTTCAGGAACATAAGGACTCTATCGGAGAAAGAGGATTTTCTGTTGTGGAGACTTTAACTGTAAATGTGAAAAACGCTGCATTTGTAATTTGCCCATTATTCCTGCTGGTAACAGGTATTCTAAGGCAATGTTGCCCTTGAACCACTGGCTAAAAACTTCTCTGTTCAGGTGTAATGCCCATAGCAATGTCAGCAAGCTTGGGCAATTTTACTCCTGTTAGAACTAAGAGAAAGTTTTAAAAAGCATAAAGAGAGCAAGGACAAAACTAGGCTAATTCCTTAATCACCCATTTGGATAGTACAAATTGGATTTCATCACCTCTGTCCCTTTTAGGACTAATCTGTGCTTAAATGAATCTTTTCATGACTGATTAGATTTAAGGCCAAAATGTCTATTTCAAAGCCTGGCTCGAAAATGAAAGTTTCTCGATATATTTTTAAAGTTTTCAAAGCCCAGTTCTTATTTATTATTTTAATGATTTATGTGGTATTTTAATTGTATAACTGTAAGCCTTCTAGGGCAGTGGTGGCGAACCTATGGCACGGGTGCCAGAGGCGGCACTCAGAGCCCTCTCTGTGGGCACGTGCACCATCGCCCCAGTCCTAGGCCTTCAGCTGGGTTTTATAAAACCTTTTCACTTTAGGCCTACACCGCCGTGTGCAAAAAAAAAAAAAGGTTCAATCAATCAGTCAATTTCAACTTCTCGTGGGAAAAAAAGATCTTGCAAAGTTGGAATTGATTGATTGAACTTTTTAGTCCCAACCAGTCTGCCGTTACCACCGCAGCCATGCTCACCCAATGGGCCACGCCCAGCCAATTGACCACACCCAGCCAGTGGGCCACACCCACCCGGCACCCAACGATGCATAAGTGAATTTTGGGTTGCAGTTTGGGCACTCGGTCTCTAAAAGGTTCGCCATCACTGTTCTAGGGTCTCCTTGGCAAGGTGGTGATATAGAAGACTAATAATAAATAAAAAAAAACTGTCAGTACTGAGGAGATGAGTGCTTTAGCTTAAAAGGTTATGGCCCCAGCTATTACATTTCTTATTTTATAACTAATTGAAATTGGTTTATAACTAATTGAAATATGTATCAGAATCCCACTCATTAATTCCAAAGGAACATATGAAAAGGTATTCTCCGATTGATGCTGAACCTTTTCATATAAGTCTTTATATGAATTAAGTAAGAACCTTGATTTGACTACAAAACTCAAATAAATTAAATCAGTTTTAACCAGTTTTTATTTTGCTTGATGTTGCCATTTTAAATTTGCTTTTTAAGTATATTTTATAGTATTGTTAAGGTGACTGAACAATTTTATTTTGCTGGTGACGATGAAAAAAACATTTAAATAGGAGAGTGCATCTTTTTTAAAAAGGAATGTTTAAATAATAAAGATTGAATTCTTGAGTCAGAACTATGGAACAAATTCCTCATCCATCTTTTAATTGTTCTTGATCAGCCTGTTCCAGATCCAAATGTGCTTTAACTGGGTGTTGAATTTGGATTTCTTTAAAGTCTTGGAATATTTACAGGCTTTGTTTAAAAAACAATAACAATGTCCTATTGTGACTCAGTTTTATAAATTAAACAAATTTGATTGAACACTTTAATCTCACTGTGAAGCTTGTGGAACATTTCAGATTTTTTCCACAATTTTTTTTTTTGCAATGCTGAAATATAACTGTAATTCATCCTAAAAATAAATAATGTACTGGCTGAATTTGCAATTTCCAAAATAAGGCAGTTTTGCATTGATTAAAAAATACATAACTAAGTGAATGCATCTTGTATCTTATGAATATGTGCTGGTTCAGATGATATGTTTGAATAAATTTTGAATGTGTAGGTAGCTGTATATGAATTTAAATATTGGATGTTCTGCTAACAATTTGTCTCTTTTTTTCTTCAAAGGAAAATCTGCAAACTCTTGGAACTGAAATAGAACGGTTAATTAAGCAGCAACATGAATTAGAGCAGAGGCTTACACAGACATAACTGAGACCAAGATCAGAAAAGTAGATGTTCCAACTTTGATGATTATATAAAATTGGATGACCAGCTATGTGTTGTCAGTCCAACAAAGTTTTAACAAAACAAAGTTGATTGGGAACAACTTTGACCAGATCCAAATGTCTGGTTTGTTTAAACGGAATGGAGACTTTGAACTTTTCTGAACCTACTTCTATCCATCACTGAAATTAGTCATATCAACACTTACAGCTTCTTCTGTTAGAGAGAATGCAACCACTCTGCTTTGTGCAATTAAAGAAGCAACTTTTAAAAATGGACTGCTGTATAAGACTGGTGCATTTGTTGTTGATGTTTTTTTGCAGAAGGTAGATGAGAAAAAAGGGTGGCTGTTGCATGTATATTAACCCCAGTGCCTTCTAAGGCATACACTTTTTTCTTCAAATATACATGCGTTCTTGGATATATTTAGATTTGTTATTTATAATATGCATTGGGAAAGGGCTTCATAGTACACATTCTTTCAATATACAGTTGAAAAATATGTCAGGTATTTTAGCAACTTGACCAAAAACATTTTTTAAAATCCCTCGAGTCCTCAGATGTGAATAGTGTCTTTTTTGTTTTTTAAAACAATCACCTTTTTAAAAAAAAGAACATTGGAAAACTCTGTAGTGTATAGACATAAGAGGTTAAAACCGATTTTGTATATATGGGAAAATAAAATATAGAATCATAAAGCCTTCACATCTTGCAGATTGACTGTGTTCATTGAAATGGAAATAATAGACATTGTAATTATTGCACATAAGCACAAGTGATGTTACATATATCTGTGCAAGTGGCTGATAACATCCCATATTGATAGGAAAGAAAAGGGAATATAGCCAGATACTGAAGATACTGAGATCACTTCCATAACTATTTAATAATATTAGTCTAATTGTACAAATAATGACAATTGTTCTTTATCTTCATCTATATAGCTTTGGTTGGAATAACAACTACAGAATTCATAATGACCATGCTGGTTGGTTATTCTGTAAGACTTTTTTTAAAGGTTATATTTATATTCTGCCTGTTTACCCAGTTTTGCGTAGCACCCAAGGCAGCTCATCCTGGCACGCTTAAGAGAAGATTGCAAGTGGGATGCAATGTAAGAATAATGGGAGAATGAATAAAGTATCATGGCTTAAAACTGGAGATGAGAGCAACTATTGCAGTACTAAGCATAAAGCATTAAATATAATTAAGGCTATGAATAATGTTGGTAGAGAGAATCAAGGATGTTATGATGATAAAAACATCTTCCATGCTTCTCCCACAACTTGGGAACATCCGTGCAGTTGGCTAGGAATAAGATGAGTAGTGAATGACATCTGCATTAACCTTGCAGAAGAGAAAGTGAACTGATACAAGCTTTATTGCTTTGACAAGCACTAGCATGTGTGTATCTATGGTTCCAAAGTGCGACAGATTGAAGCTCAAATACCCTTTTGTTTTTTCTCAATGGCCAAAGGGAAGCAATAGATTTTTAGGTATGTTAAGAAAATACCTAGCCTTCCTCTTTTTATCGCTGCTGCGCTTTTAGGAAGACAGCACTTTAAATGAATCCATTGTTCGAACATTTTTCCCCCTTTTGCTTGGTTAAAAATAGTTTCTGTCCAAAAATGTACTATTACCAAACACTTGAATCTCGTATGATTACTTTTAAAATAAGGTAATCAGAAAGTCAATCAAGAGTTTTTCATTTTATCAATAAAATAATCTTTCCTGTGATCCGTTCTATTTTATTTCCTCTTGCCTGTACTGTATATGAGAGGGAGGCAGCAACGGTTTCGAGTTGCAGTATTCCTTGTGATTGTTTATTCCAAAGTACAAAACTCTTTTAGCACTGTTTACATAGTTGCATGTGATGGTTCTATTCCTCTTCTCAAGTACAGAGATTTTAAGACATGCTTTGGGGAAAACAACAACAACCAGTATCCAAGGTTAAACAAATTTCTTGTATAAACGTGTACATAGTGCTAGAGTTTGTATTTTTCTAAAAGTTGTGCTTTTCATATTTTTCCAAAAATACAACACATGTATAGCTGCAACATTACAACAAGCAAAGATGCTTGCCTTCTGATTCTTAATGTTAAATTGTACATTATATCTAGGATTGTGGATATTGCTGTACAGAATAATTTTTAGATTACAATCCTATGTTTTCCTGCTGAGGAAATAACTTCTGTTCAATACAACTGGACTTACTGCTGGATATTTTTCTGCATACTGTTTTTACTTCATGTTTAACAAATTAGGACTGAAATAATAAAAGAGAATGCCCTAGTTAATCACAAAATATTGAGTTTAAGGACTGAAATTGCATGTCAAAGTATTTGCAAAAGCAGAGTTTCTCACATGTGTATGACAGAGCTATATTCATTTTCAGACTAGTATATTGCTGACCTTCAAAACTTTAGCCTGTGAACTAGGCCCATGTTTGTAATTATACTGATGAATGTTTAAATTGCATTCAAACTATATTATTCTTGAATAATATAGAAGTTTGAAGATAAACCTTGTTTGAGTACGAAAAGGATTACTTTGTGAAATGCAAAATGTACTGCAGTAACGGTCAATCCAAAGAAATGAGCTTTTCTAAAAACACAGTTAGAAATAAGCCTGACATATCCTCAGCATGAGCATGGTTATCTTCTAAATGTTAGAAATGTATCTTAATATACACGTTGCATCAGATCACCTTTGTCTTGGCTTAGTAAGCCTTGTATTTGTACACTCACCTAACCCATTTCAAAATGGATAATTTGTTTATTATTTTGCAAAATTGCTAGGCTGTCCTAATTGAGGGAGCAATCAATGGTGAACTTGAAAGAAAAAAAATATTTTATTACCTATCTGGCTTTGAAGATGCTATTTTGTTCTCTTAATGGAAGATAGAATGAAATATGGTAAAGTAAAACAAGCAGCCATGTTCATCTTCAAATGTAAACCAACATACAGATATAAATCAGCTTGGAAGCCAAATCTATTAGCTGATAAAACATGTTTTGAAAAGGAAGACTCCTCGCAAATTTGGATTAAATGTCTTGCTCCTTGTATGTTTTTAATTTCATTCACATTTTCTTTACCATCTAGATCAGGGGTGTCAAACTGCTGGCCCGCGGGCCAGTTGTGTCATGCGGAGGCCACGCCCACCCCAGCTCCAGCAATGCAAAAAAAAAAGTGATATGTCGCGACACATCACGTGACGCGGCGAGTTTGACACCCGTGATCTAGATAATCCCATCTTGTTCGTTAAAAGTGAACTCACATTTGAATGTTTTGCTTTCATTCTATTCTTCCCTGATCTTGAGTGTCAAAGCCTGAAGGTTACAATTGGCCATAAAAGACTTTCAAAACTCAACTTCTGTAATTCCTGGCTTGCCTGCTACAAGATGTTGCCATTAACTGCATTGTTGTGGCTTTTTTTTAAAAAAAAAAAATGCTACTTGCACGAAGAGGAGAGAAGCAGGAGCAAACGTAGAATATGTCTGAACCTATCTTGGTTGTTTAAGTCAGCATTGGATTGCACATAGTTATCAGAAATTCTCAATTCTCAACAGCAAGTTATTGGTAAAACACAGGGATCTCTGTAGCCGGTTGCTTTCTTAGAGACATGGTGATTGACATCTGAGGATGTTGCCTTCCGAAGTGTTCAATAATGCAATAAGTGCTCCTTAACCTGAGAATGCAGACTTGTATACCTGTTGATGCGGAGCATGAGGGTTCTGAAGAATGCACAAATCTGATTCACATGATGACACAGCATTTAGTTTCACATTTGCACTTAATGGCAAGTTGAACTGATACCACCGGAAAGTAATGTAGGATGATGACTTTGGTGTTAAGTACCACTGCGATTAAAACATTCCTGCAACTAATCACTTGATGTTGCTACAAGTCATGATAGTAATTGTTCCTCTTAGCAGCAAGATGCCCCAAAAACAGACAAATGACAATCCTCTAAATTGCTTTCTTTTGTCTTCAGAATGACAATGGCTTGCTTGGAAAAAAATGCTCCCTTTTCTGTAAAAACAACTTGCTTGCAAATTCATTGACTTGAGTCAAAAATGTATGCAAATACTATTAGGTTAGTGTTCAATGATGAGCACCAAAACTGTCTTCTGAATCAGAAGTCACACCCTGCTGATAATATATACTAACAATACATCTGTTAGTTTTAAAAACAAAGATAAAGAGATTTCTCTTTATTTGATGCAGTTCTGTTTAATAATACATATAATTCTCTGTTGCTTATACTGTATTTTAGTCCTAATCCTTTAAATGAAACCTAGCCTATTATGAACAACAGTAGGGGGTGCTAAAAAACCCTGTATATCTTCTTACAAAAAAAAAAAAGGATGGAACATTTTTGCCATATCTGATCATCGCTGCTTTTTTTCCCAATGGAAGGATTTTACTTATCAAGTTGGTGTGCTGATAGTGCAACTATGTCTAAATCCATTTGCATTACTCTGTAATTGTGTGTGTGTGTGTGTGTGTATGTATATATATATATACAGTATGTGTGTGTGTGTGTATATATACACACACAGAGTAATGCATATATAATATACAGTGTTTATATGTATATGTTATATATATAAAAGACAGAATGGCTTGATTCAAACATATAAAAGGATGGCTTGATTCATTTTTTGTAGATATTCATGTATAAATGAAGATTCTTTGCTCCCTTCTAAAAAGTAGCTGTATATTATGTATATCTTGGGTTTCAAATAATAAATATGAACAAAAGTGCAGATGACTCTCTCTAGTAGTTTTATTTGTAACAAAGCTGCAAGATAGTTGACTTTTTGACTTAGCAAACAAGATGCAGACACTTCACTACAGATATCTATTCCAAGGTGTGCTGTCAAAAACAGTAGACATAGCATTTCTGTTTCTAAGACTGCAGCTATAGCTTCCCAAATCGTATCTTACCACCTTGTGGCAGGGATGAGAGTGGGAGGGTTGAGCAAAAACAGGAAGTAGGCAATAATAAATTGAGATAACTACTCACAGTAGAAATTTTGAGAATAATTTTATATCTTAATTTCCTGTATTGGCAAATACTACACAGTAGACACGGGTTAGAAAACCTAACGGTTTTATCACAATATTTTCTATAACTATATTATAATACTTTATGTTTTCTAACAAAAAATTCCAAACAGGTAAAACTCTTACCTTTTTTAATTTTTTGGGGGAAAAAATTGTGTAGTTAGCTAGGTTGAGAGTTCTGCATGCAGCCAGTTTATACAAAAGCTCTTTTTCCTAGAGTAATTGAAGCTTCCCAGAGTGATGGTTGATGAATATGTTAATAAGGCAGGAACAAATAGAGCAGTGCCACAATTGCATTTTAAGAGCAAACTGGGAATAAACAATTCCATTCCTATGAGGCTCGCAATGGTTCTTTCTCCTCAAATCTTTCTCCTTCTAAGCCATATTCAATGTATCTGGCAAAGATGGATTGCCTTGGCAGGCTGTGAAAATTAAATTATTTTTTTTTTTATGTAGGTGCCTGGTATTGTTTATATTTCATCTCTCAGAGGATCAAGTCTCATTTTTTTCAGAGAGAATGGATGGCACTGAATATGCGATATTATAAAACCACACATTTGATCTGTTTTACAAATGATGATTTGTGATCTTCTTAAGATAACATTTAAAATGAGAATTTATTTATTTATTTGAATTTACTTACTCAATAAGTAAGAAAGCAAACTTCACTGCATTCTGGCACAGAGGATGTCCCCTGGATGGGTAACAAAGGTCTGCAAGCAATCGAGCATGGTCCGAGAGCACCAAGGATTCCATTATTCAAATTTATTAGCTGCCTAACTCCAATTGAGACTGGACAGCTGACAAAACCGGAAAATCCATAAAACAGATAAAACATACTTCCTTGAAGTCTGAACAGAATAACAACACTTCTCTAAAAATTTCTTCTAGATTTACTTTACAGTTGTGATGGAATATTGTCCAGGTTCCCAGGAGGGAGGGAGAAAGAGGTTTGCAGGGGAGCAAGAGACATTGCAGTTCAGATAATTTGTGTGGGAGAAAGATTTTTTTTGAAAATATATCAATTTCCTTGATTTATTTTTCTACATATGTTATTTCTCAGAACTGTTTCTCTCCAACCATGAATGCCGAGCATGCTGCAGAATAGATCTTTTTCCTATACCTCTTAAACAAAGAAAGGAAAGTTAATAACAGAACAACAGATTTGGAAGGGACCTTGGAGGTCTTCTAGTCCAACCCCCTGCTGAGGCAGGAAACCCTATACCATGTCCAATCTCTTCTTTAAAACCTCTAGTATTGGAGTACCCACAACTTCTGGAGACAAGTCGTTCTACTGATTAATTGTTCTGTCAGAAAACTTCTCTTTAGTTCCAAGTTGGATCGCTCCTTGATTAGTTTCCATTCATTGCTTCTTGTCCTGCCTTCAGGTGCTTGGGAGAATAGATTGACTCCCTCTTCTTTATGGCAGCCCCTTAGATATTGGAACACTGCTATCATGTCACCCCCTAGTCCTTCTTTTCATTAAACTAGACATACCCAATTCTAGCAATGATTCTTTATATGTTTTAGCTTCTAGTCCCCTGATCATCTTTGTTGCTCTTTTCTGCACTCTTTCTAGAGTCTTTACTGACTGAGTTTCCAAGCATGTTCTGATGGCTTCATGGATTTCAAGAGTAAAGCCAAACAAAACACGCATTTCCCATTTCCAACCACGTGGAGACCCAAACCCACCTTCTTATAAGTTCTGGTCTTCAATACATTTACCTATCTCCTTTATTTTTTTTAATGGCATTATAAAATTTAACTAGAAGAATAATAGTTAGGAATGTATTTCCTAACAGAAGTAGTTTAGGAAACACAGGCACTTTGTGTATTTTTGGAACTTTTACATAAGACACTGTGTGTCCATTGTGATAAAAATCTGCACCTCTTCATAACAACTTGAAAGATTGTACAAGAAAAATAAAAAAATCTGATGATAGGGAAATGCAGTGTGATCTTTTGTATTATAACTAAAAATCTTGCTGTTACTGCTGGATGTTGGTTATCAATTTACTATAAAAGTAATTTAAGGGACATTTTGGATCTAGTTCATTTCTAAATCTAATTGGTTTCAGATGACTGTTTTTCCAATAGTTGATCTGGGATTGAAGGTAGCATAAAAATTGTAACCAAGCAGACATATTAAAATATGTATGGATTTATGACCCAAGTTATTTCAATTCTATTAATCTACACTTAACAATTGCTTTTTGTTTATTGGATTGGATTGAATCCTTTCTGCTGTGGAATCAGTTAACACTAAAACCAAAATGAAACAGAAAGTGAATAATACTAACAATCATATGCTGAAAAATAATTGTAACAACGGTAAAAAACAAAATGCAATTTATTGATGAAATTACTTCTGAGTAATACTGGGCAAGATAAAAAAAGTGCTTATGTCTTGCTGAAACATTCATTGTCCATATAAGAACAGAGACAGTACAAGGGAAGCAGCCCAAAAATTGAAAATAGCTGAGATGAAAGCAAAAGTAGCTGCACTGAAACCATATTTATGTGTCTGTTTTCCTGAAACTCCCAGATATGGTTAAAAAAAAAAGTCATGGTCACAATGATGCAATCAAAACCTTTGCAACATATGTAAAAAAACAGGCAAGGCTTTAATCAAAGCTGCCATCTTGACTTTTTGAAGAAATAGGTAAGGTAGACCATGCTTGGAAAGTACCAGAATAAATCTTCTTGCA